CAGGAATCAAACCCTGGACCTTGGTGTTACCAGCACCATGCTCTAACCAACTGAGCTAACCAGGCAGCCCAAACTTTTTTAAATATTGGGAGCCGAAATGTTCCTAATTTCATGAGGCTGCGAGGTCACAGTTTCCTTTTATGCCAGATCACAACAGTGTAAATCCCCATTCTGTTTGCCTTCAAGAAGTTTAGTCTTTTTTCAGGAATCCAAACATTCTGGGGACTCACTGGAGAAATTTTATTTGGAGAGTACCTCCCTGCCTGGCCCTTAGCTTTCCACCATGTTATAGGGCCAGTTTATCTCCCTAAAAATGAGTGTTATTCAGCATTGTTTCTCTACCTGGAATCCAGGCCCCAGGAGAAGGAGCTGTTTCCTTCTCACCCCAGCCCAAGGCCCCATCCTGGTTTCTTCAAGGACTTCCCAGGACGTTTGTCTGTGGGAAGGATCACTTCCTTCAAGGGAAGTCTCACTCCTGGTAGCCTTCAAAACACAACATCAGTGCCCATATTTGTGGTTATGTAATCACCATTCCCAACTAGAAGGAACCAAACCTCCTGGAAAGGAGGGATGATTCCAGACCTAGAGCAGGAAATGCATAAGATGAGCCTTTCCTGTTGTGTCAGTAAACAAGGAAGGCAGGCTAATGAATTGTGTCAAAAAAAACAAAGGAGCCAACAAGAAGGGGCTTCCATAAACCAAAGATGGGACACACTGAGCATCTAAAAGGAATAATAAATGCAATCAACTAAAACACATTGTATATATTAAAATAAAAACATGAGTTTATAATTTATAATGATGTTTTGAAAAAGTGAGACTAAGCAAACAACCTCAACAACAACCTCATTGGGGACCATCTTAACACCAAGCTTTATTTAGAAAATTGGCACTTACAAGGAAAGAATTAACTGTTTGTCCTATCTTTCCTGTGTAAACTGTTATTGCAGGAAATTGAAATCGACCTAGTTGATGAAGAAAAAATCCTTTTTTATATAAAAATTCCTGCTAATAAATGCAAAAAAACAAAAGCAATGGAACCTCACGTTGTAACTTTCAATGAAATAATCGATTCAGGTAATAATTATGAACAGAGGAAACATTAGATGAAAGGTTGATGGGGAACTTCACAGTGGACGAGATAAGGCCATCACATCCCTTATCCATGATAGCTCACTAGAAGTGGAACACACAGACATTGTGTACTTCCTGTTAGAATGAGATGCGATGCCCACAGCATCGCACCTGAGATATCCTTACCCCTGCCCCCCAAATTGAACTTGAGTCAAACCCAGACTCAAGAGCTTACTTTCACTTACAAAGATGTAGGAACAAGTGAAATGACATTACAAGGAAGCAAAGAGGCAAATCCAGCATGTGGGACATTGTACACAGCAGCTGACCCAGTTTCTGAACAAGTCAATGGCATGGAGGAGGAAGGGGGAGGGGTGAGGATTGCTGCCCATAAGAGACCCAAGAGACTTCAAACCTAATGTAGTATGTGGACCTAGTTTGAGTCCTGATTCAAACAAACTGTGAAAGAAAAAAACGTTTTTAGAAATCAGCAAAATTTTATTATGAGCTCGGTATTAGATGCCAAGGAAATATTGTCAATTTTGTTCAGTGTTTTAATGGCATTGTGGTTATGTAGGAAAATATGTTTTAGCAATGCATACTGAAGTATATAGGGCTTTGCTTTGAAATACTTTAACAAGGGAAAAAGGAGGGAAAGAAAAGGGACACGTGACATTAAGGTAACAAAGTGCTGATAGTTGCTGAATCTGGCAAATGGGTGCATGAAGAAAAAGTAAAAAAGGAATAGAAAAGATGAATGTTCCAAAGTCTTGATAATTGTTGAAACTGGAAGTGGTTATATAATGATTCTTTGTCTTTATCTCTATTTTTTAGTATGTAATATTTATACCATGTAAAAAAACCCCACACAATTCTAGTACAATGGTACATTTCTCAAAATCTGGTTATGTGCACTGAGATCATAGTAATGTGCACCATTTCAGCAAGGCCATATAGAATGGACTGGACCTATCTCAATGCCGTGCCCTTTAGTGCCCTCTGTGCACAAGAGAGAAGCTGAACCTCCACTTTCTTTGTGTGGATTCTCTAGTCTCTCTCTAATCTCGGACAACAGCATAAGCAAAAGCTCTAGTACATCTCCCAAGAACA